ATAAAAATTTTACTTTTAAAAACTTTTTAACAAAAATTTATTTATTACCAAAAGAGACAACACACACACACACACTCTCTCTTTCACTCTCTCTCTCTCTCTCTCTCTCTCTCTTTTTATATAACGTTCGTATTTGATTTCCTTTCGTTTCTCTACTACTACTCTTTCTCTTTTTCGGAAAATTTTTAATGAAAATAAATAAAAAGGAAAAAAAAAATGGTTGTTAGTACATTGCTTTACATTTTACAACTTTTAACCAATATAAAATGGCGACAACAACACAACACCAATAATTTAATATCAATTAACAATTTGACATTTTTTTGAAAATTGTTTTTAATCTCACGAGTAAACCCCTTTTGCGGCATATTTTTAGGTATTAAATAATAAAAAAAAAAATTATTTTATATTAAAATTTTTGTTTTTGTCGCGCGTGTGTGTGTGCGTGCATGTGGATTATTTTAGGTGTACGATTTTAATAACACGGCTTATTCGGACATTGTCGAACATTTGCATTTGGTACGTGAACCGCACACATCGAAATTAATAAAAATTCCATTGACTTTGGATGATTTACTACCCTCGAACAAACACCTTTACTACACGTACAACGGTTCTTTAACGACGCCGCCATGTTACGAAGTTGTCACGTGGCTTACATTCAAAGAACCTATACCGTTATCGCATTTTCAGGTGAGTTTTTTTTTTTTTAAATTTAAATTCGTCAAATGTCAGTCAACATTTAATTTAACAAAAACAATTAATATTATTAATATTATTTTGTTTAAGATGAACGAATTTAGAAATTTAAAATCACAAGATGGCGAATTGGTTGATAATTTTCGTCCGGTTCAACCCATTGGAAATCGTACAATTTTTTTCAACGTCGGTGAAAGGCCCGTACATTTTAATCAATACGAGGATTATACAAATGGAAAACAAAAGAATATCGGTTCGAATTATATACCGTCTCTATTATTATTATCATTATTATTATTATTCGTTTCGTTTGTTATCAACTAATATAAATAAATTTATATTATCTTCCTTCGGAAAAAAAGGTTTACCGTGCCTCACAAATAAATAAAAATATCTGTGATTAAAATTGATAAGGTCGATTGAAAAAAAATTAAAAATAATGTCATAGAGTAAATAAATAATAAAGAAAACTTACCTTCAAAAATTTTCAAAAAAAATGGCGGGAACAAAAATCTAATTCAATAAGGCTGTGAATTTTCTTTTAATAATTAGATGCCCTCAATTTGTTGAAATCTTTAGTGCCTGAAAAAAAAAGAAAAAGAAAATTTTATTTATTTATTTTGTTTTTAGTTTCGTGCCTTATTTTTTTTATTTTTATTTTTATTAAGTTGGCAACAATACGTACCCTTAGAATTGATTAACAATATTTAAAAATTGCGTAATAATTATTTTATATTTTACCATTTTAAATAAATCAATAAAAAAACATTATATATTTTTTTAAATAAAATAATAATAATAATGTATAAAAAAAATTTATAAATAATCATGTAAAACACACTTTGTAAAATATTTATAAAACAATATATACATAAATAAATAATTAATAAATACATATTTATTTATTCATACGATTCCATTTTTTTTTTCAAAAAAGTTTTTTTTTCTTGTTTTTAATTAAAAAAAAATAAAAAAAACATTTTTTTTAAAAACGTCGCCATATTTCTTTTTTTCTCTCACACCTTTTCCTTTCCTCCCTCCACCCTCTTTTCTCCTTTCTTCCTCCCCCCACTACCTTAATAATATTTTCAATTATTAAATATATATTAGATTCATTATTTGTTAAAAAAAAAAAAAAAAAAAACTTTTTAATACCTACGTTTTTTCAACTATGCTTATTAGAAAAACTTTCTTTCGAAATTTATTATTATTATTATTAGTTTAATAATAAATTTTATTTTTTATTTATTAAATAAAATGTATATAAATGTATATAAACTTTTATTACATTTTTTTTTCTATTCAAAAAAACAAGAAAAAATTAAATTTTTTTTTTTTGTGTTAAAAAAAAAAAAAAATGAAAAATGAATTAATTTTTTTTTTTCATCGGCAAAAAAAAATGAATAATTCAAATCGTTTATTAACTAAGAAACAAAAACAAACAAACAGACAAACAAACAAAAAAATGACAAAGAGACAACAAAAAAAAAGAAAAAACGTCAAATACAAAAAAAAAATGAAAATCCATTGATTTAAAAAAATCACGAGTCGGGTAAATTAAAAAAAAAAGGAAAAAAGGAAAATGAAAAGTTTACGCGAATAAGAAAATGTCTGACGAGAAATTAAAAATAATTATATATATAAAATAAATTTTGTGGCTGGTAGATGGGAGGGAGGGAAATGGGGAGGGGAAGCAAGGAAGTGGGAACGGGGTCGATGGGGTGGAGGAGAAAAAGGGAAGAAAAACGTAGCCTAAAGGTGTGGTGGAAAAAAAATAAAAAAACCAGAGTTTTCATTAAATATCAAAATTCAATTAACCTAAAATATTTTAATGCAGAATGAAAAAACTGGAACTGGAACTTGAACTGGAAAAACAAAAATTATTTTTTCAAAGAAAATACCTTAAACATTCGAAAATCTAATAAAAGTCAAAATACAAAAAAAAATTATAATTGAATTTTAATTTTAATTTT